GAACCAAGGAGAACACAGCCGACATAGGAACCAAGCCTCTTTCAGCGAAGCGTATCAGACTGTTGTTGCACTGGTTAGGTTTTCAAACCGGCGAGAACGAACCAGTAGGTAAAGAAGAGCTCAAGGAACACAAGGCCCAGGTACAGTCCAAAGCAGTTGTAAGACTAGTGAAGAGCCCAGGAGCACTTACTTTTGCAGCGTTGTTGTTTGCAGGGATTTCAGGAACTTCGGACAGTCTTCAGATTCAGAGCTTTAAGGAACAAAGTTGCTTGCTTCAGGAAGAGTGCCAGAGAGAGTTTCAGGAACAAGTTTTCTGTTTTGCAAGTGCATGTGCGCAGGACGTCATGTGCAGTGACATGAGTGCATGCGAGCTAGGAACAGTGGCAGGAACAGCGCGTGAAACGACATGTTGTGAGATGCTTTCACAGCTCAAGGAATTCTGCGGCACAGTCGCGGAACGTGCAGGAGTTAAGCTCCCAGGAACCTTAGCCAGGAACGCCATGGAAGCCGCGAGTTCGTCGAGGAAAGAAAAGAGCGAAGTTCTCAAGGAACTGGAGGTGTTGCGAGAAGCAGCATCTGACTTAAGGAAGATAAATGAAGAGAGAAAGGAAATAGCTGCGAGCATCCAGCGCAGCACGGAGCAACAGGAACGTCTCACGAAAAGCCAAGAGTACGTGGCTGGTTGCGTACGAGAGTTGACAGGACAAATCTACGACGTCAAGCACCAGGTCCAGGAAATGGCTGAGCAGAACGAGAGAGAACGCCAAACCTCAAAGGAACAAATGGACCAAGTCCTAGGAACATGCGATGTTCTAAGGGACCAGCTGCAGGACATGATGAACGACTTTTACTGTCAACAAGAAGAGGAACGCCAAGAAGAAGAAGAGCAAAGGAAAAGAGAAGCCAAGGACCGAGAACTTGAAGGAGAACTACGTCGTGAAGGCAATGGAAAAGGAACGCAGACAAGAGCTACGTCACCTACCTCCCAGGAAGATATCAGGGAATGGTCAGACAGAGGATTTTTCGAGAAGATGCAAGAGGACGACCAGACCTACGAGGACTTCGACGGCAACGAGAACGAGATCTACGTGGACAGCTACGTTGGAGGAGAAGATCCCGGGGAGTACCCCGAAGAAGGCACAGCAGCAGCAGCAGAGGAAACTGAGGAGGAAAAGGAAGCAAGGAGAAGGAAGAAGATCGCAGAGATCAACGCCAAGAGCAAGGAAAGACTCAAGGAAAAGGAGGAAGAAAAGAAACGGTTTCCGTACCCCTACGACTACACCAGCGAGTGGAAGGAATATTCCGAGAACGGCGAGATCTACCGAGAGCACAGAGTTACAGGAGAAAAGCAGTGGTTGGACAAGGACTACACCTACAAGCACGAGAAAGGAAGCAAAGGAAAGGAGAAAGGAAAGAAGGCAGGAAAAGGAAAAGGAAAGCCACAGCAGCGAGCAGCAAGCTCAGGATTTCAGCCGCAAGACGAGCAGGATGAGAAGTACTGGAAAGAACAGGATGAGATTTCGAAGCAGCAGAAAGCAGCCAGAGCAGCAGCAGAGGAGAAGAAGAAGGAAGAAGAGGAGAAGATCGCCAAAGCAAGAAGGATTTTAGAGGCAGCAGCAGAAGAGCAGGAAAGGCGAGACAAAGAAGCAGCAGAAGCCGCAGCAGCCGCCGAGAGAAGGCGAGAGGTTGAAGCAGCAGCCAAGGCAAAAGCAGAGAGAGAGAGGCAAAGGAGAAGAAGGAAACAGAAGAAGCAGCAGCCAAAGCAAAAGCAGAGGAAGAAGCAGCAGCCAAAGAGGAGAAGGAAAGAAAGGAGCAGGAGAAGAAGAGAAAGGAGAAGGAAGCCAGGAAGAAGAGAGAGGAAGACAAGAAGGAAGCATCAGCATACATTGCCAAGAAGGAAGAGGAAAAGAAGAAAGCAGCAGCAGCAGCAGCAGGAACAGGTTCAGGAGAAGTGGAACCGAGACGTGAAGAAGACAGGATCAGGAACTTGGAAAGGATGATGGAGGAAATCATGAAGGAGCGCAAGGAGGATAAGGAAAGGATCGCAAGCCTTACGCAGGAGCTTGAGAGCAGAGGATCGGCAGCCGGGTCGCAGGCACCCACGGAAGCAGAAGCAGACACAACACCAGCAAAGGAGCACGAGAAGCCAGGAGGAAAAGGAAAAGGAACAGCACAGGAAGAGGAGCCGCCAAGCGTCACAAAGAAAGGCAAAGGAAAGGAAGGAAAGGAAGACCCAGAACTTTCCGCCAAAGGACCAGTGAACGAAGCATCGTATATGAAAGGAAGAGGACGTGACGAGTTTGAAGGAAACTGGTTTGCAGTCTACGGCTTCAACAACAGGAACTACCAGTGGAAGTGGAACGAAGCGAAGGCACAGTGGTACTGGTACTCAGGAACCAAAGAAGGTGGCTGGAAAGCAGCGTCAAAGGACAAGCAAGGAAAGCAGAAGTGCAAAGCCCAGGCACAGCAGCTTGAAGAGTACCTCAAGGACCAGCTAGAGGAGCAGAGAAAGGCAAGCCAAGAAAGTGAAGGAGAAGAAGAAGGCAAAGGAACCAAAGGAAGCAACGTCGGCGACGGTGAAGTGAACTTCCAGTGAAGCAAAGGAACCGCGAGCAGTACTGAGGCCAGAGAGCCGAGGAAAGAAGCAGTGAAGCAGTGAAGCAGGAACACAGGAACCGTGGCACAGCCCTTTTTGTTTCTGTGGTGATCTAAGTAAAGTGCAGGAACAGTTTTTGTACAGTCTAGCAACCTTGGAGAGGATTGCAAGTGAACATTGCCAGATGTTTGCGAGGAGGAACAGTGTTTGTTTTCGAGTAGAAAAGGAAAGTCGTGCAGCTACTGTCGTGTATAGGAACGGAAGTGTCGAAGCCAGTTTGGTCAGGAACTTACCGGCACTAACTTCGAAGGCGGGGTGTTAAACATTCCACCTGTGACAGTAGACCTGCAGGAACTAAAGTGCTAATGCATAGGAACAGCCGGTGCACGCACCTGCGGCGCATAGGCTCGAGACCCACCGGACACAGCGACCGCACAGGAAAAGTGTCCGACCGCTTTGCAGTTTAGGAAACGTAGTGAAGCCCGTTCTTTAACATCTTTGCTGGATGTGCAAAAACGGGGGCAGTCGAAAGCCCACGAGTCGGTGGTTCGCTACGAGAGAGGCGCCAGGCTTGCAAGCGCATGGGAAAAGCTTCCGAGGGAGTTCAAGACCCAGGCCTTTGAGTGCGAGCGAAACCTGGGGGAGTACCTGTCGAAGCTTAAACCTGCCCCCCGTTTTACCGGAACAAGTGCCAGGGGAAGTATGTAAAGGGGTGCTCGGGGTCATTATGGATCCCCCACTTGCCACCTTTTCCACGGCTCGCGATCGGCAACATGCCTTCATCCGTGGGGTGTGCACCGTAGTTTGCTTTCAAAATCAGAGACAGCGGACATCGAGCGCGATAACCGATAACCAGTGCCTTCAAGCCTGCTTGTGTATCATTCGCGAGCTCGACCGGTTTCGCATGCCCTGGCTTCTCGCCCATCCTGCTTCGTCTAGGGTTTGGTGACTGCCGGAGGTCGTGGCTCAACAATCCAAGGCTTGCGCAGAGGTCGTTACCAAGTGGCGTAAAAGATTGTGTTTTCTGGCAGGTCATTTTGAATCCGAGGATTTGCGCCGCATGCGCCTTACCTGCAGTGGGCACAACAAACTCTGCTCGCGCACATCCTGCGCGCACTTGCCACTTACAGGTCGGACGCAGGGCACCCTCAGGGTGCTTGTTGCGGAGCGATTTCCTTATATGCTGTGCCTTGCCATCGCCTATGGACTTAATTGCTGCTGCCCACCACTCCCTGCCCAAGGGATGAACTTCTGTCTTCGGAAGATTTGGGATGCGTGATGCTACTGAGCTGAAGCTTTGACGAGCGGAGGCTCTGTGGCGGATTCTGAGGCTCGCTTCTTTCATGAGCGAGCTCTTCACGGCGAAATCCCAGCATGCCGTGAATGAGCCTGTGATTTCGAGAAAACTCTCTGCTAAAATGTGTTGCAGTGCAAGTCTGTAGCAGCGTGCTGTTGAAGACTGGAGCGGCTGCACATAATCTGACGCCGCCTGCTCTCAAGTGTTCCCTCCCACCCTCCCCTGAGGGGATGCGTGATGCTACCCAGCTGATGCTTTGACGAGCGGAGGCTTTGTGACGTGAGCGAGCTCTTCACGGCGAAATCCCAGCATGCCGTGAGTGAGCCTATGAATTCGAGAAACTTCTCCGCTAAAATGTGTTGCAGTGCAAGTCAGTAGTAAGTAGGTAGCAGTGCGCAGTAAGCAGTGTGCAGTAGGTAGTATGTAGTAAGTAGTTGTAAACAGGAAGCAGTAGGTGGTAAGAAAGAAGTTGTAAGTAGTAAGTAGTATGTAGTGGTAAGTAGTCGAATAGTAAGTAGTAGTAGTAGTAAGTAGTAGTAAGTAGTAGTAAGTAGTAGTAAGTAGTAGTAAGTAGTAGTAAGTAGTAGTAAGTAGTAGTAAGTAGTAGTAAGTAGTAGTAAGTAGTAGTAAGTAGTAGTAAGTAGTAGTAAGTAGTAGTAAGTTGATCTAAGGCCCCCGTCTCTTGACTTTGCTCTACTGCAGAGGCGATTTATTCACATTGTCAATATTGAAGTTGCTTTCAAATCATCGTGTGCGCGCAAGAACGCGCAAGGGCGGCGCAAGAATGCGCAAGGGCGATAAAATGGCAATATATCTTTGTGTAGCTGGGCTTTCCCCATGATGCATCTTCGATCTTGGAACCTTACTTTCCTAAGCCTCCAGCGCGAAACCAAAGCGCTTGCGATGTCCTATGGGTCATGTTTGAGTACTCAATATCGTGAAGTTCATGGTCATACAAGCTGAGGGAATGAAAAGCTCGTGTGTGTGTGTGCAAGAAACAAGCATGACGATATCGATCATGTTGACGACCTTATTTGCAAGTCATAAGTTAAAATTGCTGTTGCACCTGAGCCCCTGCATATTGAGCCCCAACCTTGCTGCGCTGAGGAGACCGCTACGACCACCAGCTCAAGCTCAAGCTCAAGCACCACCACGCTTTCCATGTTCCTTTCACCGAAAATAGTGCCGACAGGAAGTGCTAGTTGCCTTCCCCACGGCCCAAAGTTCCCGCTAGACCTTGGAGCTCCTGCGAGGTAGATGTCGGAGGGCCTCTGCGAAAAGCCTCTTTCTGTGGAGGTTTTGATTGGCCCTCTTTGTCTTGTTGGGCCACAGGGGGGGGGCAATGGCAACTCATGACCTTCTGGGGTCTAGATGCTGGGGTCCTTATAAGGTGGGTCCCACTATTTAGGGTACTAAATAAAGGGTCCCCTATTTTGGGAAACTGCCAGATGGTCCCGACAAGCCTGTTCCAGGTTAGTTCTTCGAGGCGGGATGAGCCTAAGCCTCCCGAATGCTGCAGTGCGGCTGGGACCTGTTTTAGGGTTTAGGGCCGTTTAGGGTTTAGGGTTTAGGGCTTCCTAAGGGGGGGCTTCCTACAGGGGGGAGGGGGAGGGTGAACGCACAGAGACAGAGGGAAGATGCAGGTTCTTCATATCAGGTCCAGGGTGCGGGGCGTTGCGAGACGGGAGAGAGCATGGGTGGTTTGGGATCCCGTCTGATCTGTACATGTGAGCACTGTAAACAATGAAGCCCGGCACTTTCTGCAACACTGACATGCACTCAGCATCTCTTGGCATCAGCAGCTAAGATTCGAAGACCGAACATTGCGCCAGTGCACGTCACGACTCCTTTGGATAAGCGTGCTGAAAACAATTGAGACCTCTGCACTGTTACTGGCCTTCGCAATCCTCAAATCCTCAACTGCTTGTCCCTTGAATGTGACATTCCAGAGAAAAGTTCTCCGGATTGCAAGGTCTGTGTCGGGTTGCTTGAGCACGCGATATCCATATGTTTGTGCCGGCCCCTGGCCCCCGCGAAACGTGGTGATTCTTGATGAGCCAGACGCTTTTGGGCTTCATAACCGACCATGCCATCAACAAGAGATCCGGCAAAACACAATCCTAAGCCCCGCACGCCCCAAATTAAGTGCCCTGAGCTCCAGACCCTTAGCCGATCGAAACAAAGCTAGACAACGGCATTCAATTCAAGCTGCATCGATGTGACCACAGGTTGGATCATGTCGACGACATCGCAGAGGCCATCTGAGCATCAGTTAGGGAGTGACAGCAGTGCGAAGTTCGCATGGAGCCGTGGTTTCTCACGCCCCGGATATAGCTTCTGTGAGGCGGTCAAGGAAATGGTAGCCGTCGTGCTTTTGGGAGACGCAGCGACGCCGGAGGAGGTGGTTTGCTTTGGTTAGCAGCATGCAGCGAGGATTCTCGACAACTCCTTGTGTTTGAGTGGAGCTGCCTCCTCCAGGTTTTGAAAATCCGGAAGCATACTCGAGGAGTTCTAAGTTTCGCAAAGTTTAAGTTCTATCACTCAGGCTTACTTCTTCTTGGCGCTTGGATCATTTTGATCAACGGTTTGTCTGAAGAATAGGCCAACTGTCACTGCACGTGCCACGGCGAAATGCATGATCAAGTATCCAAACATGTGCCGAAGAAGCCGTAGGAAAAACCCTTATCATGATTTCATGTTCAACTTCATGATTGCACAAGCCAAGGTCAGCTGTTGGATTGCAGTGATTGATGCGCGGTTCTTTCGGGGAAAAAAGAGGATTTGTCTCCGGACCGTCAGAGATTTCAGTACGGAGTTTCTTACCCTACACTCTACGGCCCCAAACCCTACAACCTAAACCGAAACCCTAAACCCTAAGCCCTAAGCAATATAGAGATTGACTGTTCGTTCGAACGGATTCTTGCGGACTCGAAACCAAGGTGGCAAGGCTGCAGGTCAATTTAACAACGACTTCGGGCTCGATCTCAAGGCGGGCGTCTCGTTTGGACTGGTCTTTCGTTCTTTTTCTCCTGGAGGGTCGTAGTCTTACCTTTCAAATGCCGGGGTCTCGTTTTTGTTGTTCTGATGCAGCGATTGTTTGAATTCCGCAGAGCAGCTGGATAGGTAGTGCCAGTCTTGTTAATGTTCTGAATCGTACCCGAGCCTTCTTAGTCGCAGATGCTATGCTGTCTTCAGACCCATCTCCTTTCAGAACGGGTCTCGTTGGCCTTTCAAGCTTGCATCGAGTGCTTCACTTATGCAGATCTTGGAAGCTTAGTGCCGCGTGAGAGATAGTCACACGTTCACAAACCCTTCGGATGACTCGCATGTCCCCTCATGGCATGGCATTTGCACAGGTTGCTCTGCACAATGCTTTTCTGCAGGAATGCCAAGCGCGTTTTCCTTGTCGAAGCTTCAATTGTCGGTTGGAGCTAGCCCTGTCATCGTTCACTGTTCATCATGGAAACTATGTTGACCGACGGTTGACCCGATGGCTGATGCCTAGACCTGGTCCGAGAAGCGTGGAACCTCCAAGTTTAGCTCTGCGCCGGAGAGGCTCCTGACACCCTTATCGCGCATCAACGCCGATTACGTCCTGGGCTCAGCAGTTGCCGTTGGGCCATGAAGTGACGACAGGATCTGATCTACAGACGTTTTCCTCGCAGATGAAAACGGGGCTTGATTCTGCGGTCACGAGTCTATTGTATGTGTTAGCTGTAGAACAAGATGCATTTTTGTGCCTGGACAAGCCAGTCCGCATGCCCACTTTTGTGTAGGTGCTCAAGTTTCCTTGTTGAATAATGAGAATGCTGACTGCTTGCACATGCGGAAATGTTGAGAAGACTTGTACATATTATTGCTATTTGTGGCACATATTTACTTGCTATGCGGCTCAAACCAACTAATGGAATCCGTCGGTGTATACATACATAAATGAAGAACGCGACATGTGTGTATGTACAAATGTATATATGTATATACATAGAATCTGCAATGCGGTTTTAAGCGTGCAAAGCAGATGCACATGTATAGTATTGCATGCAAACGAACATAGACAAGAATCTGAATTTCGATGCAGCTGTTGAAGCCTAGAACTCACTTCGTCCATATGCCCACATGTGTATATATATATATACATATACACATACATGCAGCCCTCAATGCCTGCCAATCAGTTTTGGGGCATTACCGGCAATGTTGCACATAGGTGCACCTGTGGACACCTGCAAGAACAATCAAAGTACATGTGGACAAATCTATGAGCAAGTGGATACATATATGACTAAACTGAAGTTTACATGCGTGCTGCACACTCCGACTGTATGTGTATCAATAGACATATAGACACATTACATGTATACATAGATACATGTTTAATATACGTATACATCGATAGGAACGGCTGGAAAAAACAAGAGCTCATTTTAGTATGGAGCTAGCTTATCAGAGATTACACGTGAACACGTTGCAGTGAATATCAAGTTAACTAGAAGGTGCAACTCCTGAGTCGTGCGAGACAGGAAGACCACATGCAGATTCCCTGTGCGGGAGCAATGCCCTAAACCCTAAACCTTTAAACCAGAATCGCGGAGCAGGCCCAAGAAGCCACGAGCAACAAGAATGAAACACACACGCACACACACATACACACATATGCACCAAAAGCACTACAACTTTCAAAAAGGACAAGAACACACCACACCAAACAATTGCGAGCCCGTGTTCAACATGGTGCTGGAGATTTGGCGTGATTTGTGTTTTAGTTTGTCTTTAAATGTTTTGTTTGTGATGTTTAAACATTTTTCTTAGTTGTTGGTTGTTGTTTGTTGCTTTTTGTTTGTTGTTTTTAACTTAACATGAGGTGGTTAATGTTCGCAATGAGGAGTTGCACTGTTAGTTTTTTTGTTTTTGCTTTTGTTATTCTATGTTATTCTGTTTGTGGTTGGCATTATCGCTGTTATTTCGCACGATGATGAGCTTCTTCTTATTGTTCTTTTCCGTTGAATAGCTTTGGCCCTCCTCTTCCCCCATGTTTCGGAGCATGCATGTCGGCTCGGCTTCCTGGTGAATATCTACACATACATACAAATACACAGTGTATACAAAACGAGAACTGTAGACACGTGGGGCAATGCACGGGGTTGGGGAAGCTACCATGTGGTTGTAAAAAACCCCCCCCCCCCCCCCCCCCCCCGCCCCTCCGCCCCCCCTCCTCCCAATGGCATCCCCCAAAATACACGGTCTGCTCCGAAGCTCAAGACCTCAGCCGTTCCACCAGGGGGGAGGGCGGATGATGACATGCACAACCATTGGAAGAAGGCCCAAACCAAACCACCCAACCATTCCATACGCAAGCCCGAGGCCCAACCTTCCACAGGTTGAAGGGTGGTGACCAACATGGGGTATACCATTGGGGGTGGGGAGGGGGGAGGGAGGTGGTCGCCGGGGCGCAACCATATATATATATATATACATACAGATACATATACATATACAGATACGTATACATATACATATACATATAGGTGTAATTAAGCTCTGCTGAGGTGTGGCCAATGCCGCGCAATGACATCCTGCAGGAAGGGCTCGTGTCGCTGAAGCAGCTCCTGGCCAGAGTTGTAAGGCAGAAACGTAAGACGGGAGTTAGCGGTTTGTTAAGGGGAACCAGACTGATGTTTGGGATGTTCATTGCAGGCTGTCTGCGTAAACGGCATTCGAAATGCTGGCTGGAACCGAAGCGTGCGCGGCCATCCGCTTCTGCGATGCTCATGAGCAGGTCTTCCACTTCTTCAGCATACGCCGACTTCATACCCGGCACACGCACGACTTTCATCCTAAGTCCTGCATACCAGCGACTTCCACGAAAATCAAATGAGGCAAGACAACATCAGCTCCCAAGTGAAATCATCGCTCCGAAAGCGCCGATGCAGACCATTGCTCATGGCTCACGACTCCCAACATCTACTGCCGACTTTCATTTCAAGATATCAATGTCCGAGCTAGATCCAAGAATAAGTTGTGTTTTTTTTTCAGGTGGTGTTATAGATTTTTTGGCAGCCAGAACATGCCTGCTCCCGTGTCTTCAAACCTCGAGACCCCAAACTGACATCCAGCGTGATCATGAGAGTTTAGTGTCCAGATTTGCAGTTTTGCAGATATTCAGGTTGAATGCGGACATTGCTACCGAGACCCTTGCAGAGGTTTTGCAGCAATTCCCGGCACTGGCGCCTCAGATAGATCTAAGGTTCAGCTGCGACTGCTACTGCTGCCGCTCTTACTACCACCACAGCTACCACTACCACTGCCGCTACCCCTGCCACTACCACAACTACAACCACCGCTGCCAGCCACCACCACTACCACAGCTACAACCACTACCGCTACCACTACCGCTACACCTACCGCTACTGTACCATTACCATTACCACAACCACTACCACTACCACTACCACTACCACTACCACTACTACTACTACTACTACTACTAGTACTGCAACTACTACTACTACTACTACTACTACTACTACTACTACCACTAGTACTGCAACTACTACTACTACTACTGCTACTACTACTACTACTGCTACTACTACGTACTATGTAGCAGTAGTGGTAGTAGCAGTAGTAGTAGCAGTAGCAGCAGTAGTAGTAGTACTACTACTTTTACTACTACTGCTGCTACTACTACTACTACTACTACTGCTACTCCTACTGCTGCAACTACGACTACCAATACTACCACTACTTCCACTACTACGACTACGACGACGACTACTACTGCGACTACCACCACCACCACCGCCACCACCGCCACTACCATTTTGCTGCTAGTTCTACTTCTTCTGCACCACCAGCACTACAACTGCTACTACTACCACGAGTACCACTGCTGGTACCTCTGCCTACCACTACGAGGACGACGGCTGCGAAAGGACGAAGACTGCGCTAGTGCTAGTAGTAGTACTCGTATTAGCTCAAATACTAGTATTAAATACTCGTATCGGAGGGGCTGCCGAATCTGACTCCGAGTCCTTTTTGACTCGGACAATGTTGGTACCAGCGAGCTCATTAAGAACGACTTGCAAAAATATCAGTTTTTATCCGAAAACTGTTTTACAAAGAACTATCACATCTTAGGATGTCAGTGACAAGCAGCTAGCTCCGCCAAATCGGTCTCTGTGGATACACTACCACAACTGAACCACCACGGACGACTATTACTACAACTGCTACTGCTGGCTACTATTACACTACTACGGCTGCTATTACTACTACTACGGCGTCCACGTACAACCCCATTGAAAGTAACATGTAAAGCAAACACCAATCTCGAGGCCAGCAGCCAAGAACCCTGAAACAAACCGGCCGCTGGATTCAACATCAACGCCACATCGTTTGCCATGCAAATGCCGACTGAGCTTCCATTCTTTATTGCAGCAACAGGAAATTGAGTGCATGCAAATGTCTGAGTCGATTGGTTTATGTTTCTGCAACAGCAACTTATTCAGCAAACAATAAGAAATGGTGACTCTTCTGAAACTTGCAAGTTGCCTGTTACCGAACATGCAAACACCTGCTTGACCAGCAGCTGCTTGACCAGCGGTTCTGTTGTGGGCATGCGACATGTAGGGCCTCAATGGCATTGTATGTGGCCTTCGTCGTCGTAGTAGTGGTCGTAGCAGTAGTAGTAGTAGTAGTAGTAGTAGTAGTAGTAGTAGTAGTAGTAGTAGTAGTAGTAGTAGTAGTAGTAGTAGTTGTCGTAGCAGTAGTGGTAGAAGTAGCAATAGTAGTAGCAGTAGTAGTAGTAGTAGTAGTAGTAGTAGTAGTAGTAGTAGTAGTAGTAGTGTCAGTAGTAACACTCGTCCACAGCGGCTCAGTTGTGGAAGTGTATCCACAGAGGCCGATCTTTGTAGTAGTGGTGGTAGCTTGTCACTGACATCCTGATCCGGAAGGAAGGCTCGTCAGTTAAACTTTGGGCGGTCATGTACTGGCATTGATTTTTTTGGCCGCCCTGCCCCTCCCGGCCCACTCCTAAAAGCAGGCACACACATGCTTAGGGTTAGGCTTGGGGTTGAAGGTTTGCGCTTGATGCAATAGTTCTGTATGTTATAAGCTAGTAAGTCATTCTTAATGAGTTCACTAGTACCAACATCTTCAGAGTCAAAAAAAGCTCAAACAGATTCGACAGCCCCTTTGATCATACCCAGATCTGACTACTGTTGCTGTGGCTTTCACTATTGCTGTCACTTTAACGAGAAATACATACGAGCTTTAATATTCGTGCTATTTCTACGCACGGCGCTTGAAGCTGATTCTGGGCTTTCGCGTGCAGGATTTTGAACGAAAGATACAGAAGTGCTGTGAATTACACGGTACTCAGCTCGTCCTTCAAAACGATGGCCAAGATCACAGGACCCTATAACCGGCAGAGTCACTTCAAACGACCATTGGGGGTATTTTTTTTGCATGTTGCCGGGAGTTTTTTGAGTCTTGGTTTTTGTGAACAACAATGGCTGGAAATCAACACAGCGGATGCCCTTTTCGACAGTTTCTGGAGCCTTGTTAACTGTTACCTGAAAGAAAGGTAGCGCTGACACTGCTACTAGTTGTACCACCTCCTTTGAGCAGCATCGGGCTAGCTTATGCTTGTTCGTTGTAGATAAATAGATTTGTACTATCAACTGTGCGTTGCCAGCCGCAACTTCTACTACTACTACTACTGCTGCTACTCCTACTGCTACCACTAGTCATAGGATTACTATCACTATCACCATGGTGATTATCTGTCTTGTGCTTATGTTATTTTTTTCTTATCTTGCCCTTACTCTTCTTATTTCTCTTATTCTTATTCTCAATATTGTTCTTACCACCACCACCACCACCATTGCTAGTACTTCTTTTGCTGCTACTACTCCTACTTCAACTGCTACTGCTACTACTACTACTGCTGCCAGCACTGACTGCTCCTTCTATTGTTGCTATTACTACTACGACGACGACGACAACTACTACTACTACTACTGCTAGTACTACTAGTACTACTAGTACTACTAGTACTACTAGTACTACTAGTACTACTAGGCTTGCGCGCCTCCTGGCGCCTGGTAGTTTGGAGGTGTTCGAGGGTCAAAAGTATTGGTTTTTACAGGGTTTTGTGAGAATCGCAGTTTGGGTACGTTGTCAAAAACTACTTTGCTTTACTAATAGTTACACTTTTGGATGACGATGATGATGCTAGGGATGCTACTGATGATGATGATTATGATGATGAAGATGCTGAGAATGCCAACGATGTGCATGTTATTGGAAGCCAATATTAGGACTGAGGACTACGGCCACTAGTGCTACTACCTACTAGTACTAGGCCTGCTACACTGCTGCAGAACGACTCGTGCCTTCAGCGCAGCAGTTCACGTCTTCCGCTGTTGCTGGCACTTTTGTTGTGCTAGTGCTAGTGCTACGGGTTCTGGTAGTAGGACTGGTACAAGTACCTAGTCGTAGCCGTGTCGTAGTGCTACTGTTAGTGCCACTGGTACTGATACTGCTACTGCGACTGCTAGTGCCGCTGCTGCACTATTAGTGTACTGTGCTACTGCTACTGCTACTGCCACTGCCACTGTTACTGCTACTGCCAACACAGGAAAATCGAGCCACTGTGCGGGCCCCCCCGCCTGACGACCCCCCCGCACCAGTGGACGAAAATGCTTCGAAAACACACGAAAATCGAGCCACAACATGCTTCGAAAATATACGAAAATCGAGCCACACCGTGGGGATTGCGTTTTCGGCAAAAATCGCGGTTCAGCATGTCGTGATTGACACCCCCCACCAAACCCTCCCCTCCAGTCGAACAAAAGGCCCCATAAAACGCTCCAAAGTACCGGCACTGCCAGTGTTTTTGGCAACAAGAAAACCATTGCGGTCGACCATGTCGTTATTAACCCCCCCCCCACCCCCCCCCCCCAACCCAAAACCTCCCCGAAACACTTGAAAACAGAGCAAAACACCAGGCGCCAGGAGGCGCGCATGGGTACTACTAGTACTACTAGTACTACTAGTACTACTAGTACTACTAGTACTACTGGTACTACTAGTACTACTAGTACTACTGGTACTACTAGTACTACTAGTGCTACTAGTGCTACTAGTACTAGCACTGGTACTACTACTACTACTACTACTACTACTACTAGTAGTAGTAGTACTACTACTACTCCTCCTGCTACTAGCACTACTACTAGCACCACTTCCCGGACCGCGACTACTGCTGCTCCTGCTGCTGCTGTTGCTGCTGCTGCTACTACTGCTGCTGTGATACGACAGCCCAGAATCTGGCGAATTGGTTTGACAGTTTTTGCCTTTTACATTGCCTCCAACGAAAATTCTGTGGGCGTTATGCTCTTGATATGAAGGCAGACATCCCCTTGATGATCGATTCGGTGATTCCTGTCGTTGTGGTGGATTCGTCTCTCAGCAGCATCGACGGGTGTAGTCCTAGTCCTAGGAGCAAGCCCAGTAGCCACATCACGTTGCATTGATCCAGGCTGATCCCGCACAAGCCTGTGTCGAGAAAGACCAAGAATTGAGTCAGACCACTTGGCCATCTAGGTCCGTGCAAAATATGAGGCACACATGTGCGAACATGCCGGCATGCCTCCGTACATACACGCACATGTCTGCATCCATACACATGGGCACACCGATAAGCACACTCATGGGCAGATAGATAGACTGATCGATAGATAGGTAGATCGATAGATAGGTGGATAGATAGATCAGTATATAGAAAGACGGATAGACAGATAACGGGGCTCACACATAGACAGATAGATCGATGGATAGATAGATAGTTGGTTGGATAGATGGACAGATAGATGGATACATGAATAGATAGATAGGTAGACGGGTAAATAGATCGAGAGATAGTTAGTAAGGTAGACAGATGGATGCATATACATAGAGTCAGACAGATAGACAGGCAGACGGGCAGACAGGCAGACCGACAAGCAGACAGATAGATAGACAGATAGACGATAGATAGATAGACAGATAAGGAGATTGGAAGATGGACAGATAGGCCGATAGACGGAGAGGCAGATAGCCATATAGGCAGACAGGCAGATAGATGGAAGGATCGGTGAATGTATGGATAGACGGGCATATAGATCCATCCGATGAGTGGATAAATCGTGTCGAACTGTGGCTGGAGAAGGCGATAGGTAAACATCTGCTACTACATCTCATATATATATATATATACATACAATATGTAGATATGTGTACATATTTTTATATACATTCATATATATATATATATATACACATGTCTGTGTGTGTTCATGTATATGTATATGTATATGTATTTGTATATGTATACGTGTATGTATATGTGTATGTGTACGTGTTGTACGTATGTGTTTATGGAGGTGTATATGGAGATGTACATGTATATGTATATGGAGATGTGTACGTGTATGTATATGTATATCGAGCGTATATGTATATGTATATGTATATGTATATGTATATGTATATGTATATGTATATGTATATGTGTATGTATATGTGTATGTATATGTATATGTATATGTATATGTATATGTATATGCATATGTATATGTATATGTGTATGCATATGTTTGTGTTTATGTATTTTCGTGAAAGTCACAAACAGGAGGCTTAGCACATCTTCCTTTATGATGGTGCTTTAAGCGTAGTTGGTGCACGCAAATGTCCACGCTTCCACCGCGCAGGGGCTCGACATCAACTTCGACGCTTTCTCTTACGACTTCGCAGGCCATAGAACTTTCAGCGCGAGTTCGCTTCAGTCGTAAGTGCCAGGAGCCGTGCGGCTCATAGACGGACTAAGTGACGTCAGCGAAGTACTTTACAGCATCCATACGTTGGGCATTCATTAGACTGCTTTCTACAACTCCAGAATCGCGGAACTGAGCGATGCGATCCGTGGGCTTGCGCTTGCATGTTGGCCCCTACGCCCTGCTCCTTGAGCATGGCTGCAGGGTCTCGCATGCCACACCTTCAGTGAAGGGTGGTGCGTGCAAAGTTATCATGTTGCTTCGGGATTAATGATGGCACCCCGGCTCAAGAGTGTCCCCCTGTCGCCGTCGTGGTACACAAGCGCACTAGTACGAAAACAAGTCGTAGTCCAAAAGCAGTACTGACACGGCGGCGGTGTCTCGGATTGGGATCGACTGAGTTCTAGGTGGGCTTAGATGGAAGGGTTGGGGAAGGTGGTGGGCTTAACTGGCATGCTGTAGAAGGGTTGTGTTCTTTTTGCGGGAGGGAGGGGGGTTTCAGGGATTTGGGCTCGATAGGTCCAAGTGAGCTTACCTCGAAAGGTTCTTGTATTATTGTTTTGTTTTTTTTGGGAAAGGGGGGGGCGGTTGGGGTCCAGGTGGGCTTAACCAGTTTGGGAGGAATACAAAAAGAGACCGAGCCTGAGCCCTCCTAAACCCAGTAGAACGACTCGAACAGCTTAAGGTGGCTTTTTCGTCTCTATAAGCCCAGAAGTTTACAGGTTTGGGCTTTAGTGGGTTAAAGGTTCTTCTACGGGGACTATGTATGGATTTTAGGATAGGGATTAAGGGTTAACGGTTCCCCCGACACCACATTGTTTGTCCGCCCTTGCAGCAGCGGGTCGGACAACGAGAAAAACAAGCTTACTGTTACTATCTAAAGTATTCGGCCCGGCGTGCTGGTCAAAAGAAGCAGAAGCGCGATTGCCAGGCATCAACGACAACATCTGCCACAAGCATCTGGAGAACCTCTGCGCCAGCCACGCGGTTGCGGGTGCAGGTAGAACTTGAGCAAGTGGTTTAGTGTCCATAGCCACAAACATTCCATCGTCTTGCATTTGCTCATTCTACACCGAAACCTGCATTCCGATCATATCATCAAACACACACAAGTGGCACTGCCACAGGGCATCATGCATGACGTGTTCTGAACTTTCACGTGAGCCGGTCCGAACATTGTGAAGCCCTACATAACCGTAAAGACGTAAAGCCTAATGTGTAGACTACTGTTGACCGAGACGGCTGCGACTAGCACAAGCTCGGGCACCAGCACGCCTTCCAGGTCTCTTGGAATCTGGGGCTGAGGATCGTAGATATCACTCAAACAAGCTTTGATACATAGTCTGTTCTGATTGTGCAAGTGGTCGTAGCCATTCTGGCAACAGGTCGCGAAGTCATCAGGCTGTCCATGCTTGCGGCGTCGTTGGTGCACGCAAGTGTCCACACCTCCACCGCGCAGGGGATCGACATCAACTTCAACGCTTTCCTTCACGACTTCACAGGCGAGAGGACTTTCCGCGCGAGTTCGCTGCAGACGTAAGTTTCACGCGTGCAAAGTTCGCAACTGAGGGCCTTGGGTAGAACTCGAGTAAAAGGATTTTGCATGATTTTGCCTTCACACCTTTCGGCAGGATTCCGCGTTGAAGCTTCGCATGCATTTTGACAGTTTCGTTCTGAAGCAATTCACTGTCAGGTATCGGTGACGACATCTGCGACAAGCAACCTGCAAAGCAGTGCTTCAGCAACTGGGCTGCAGATTGCCAGAAGTTGAGCCAGACTTTTGGCCATTACCGCTTCGCCAGGGTTCCGTAGCTCAACTTTCGGTGCGCTGACATGATAGTCCACCGCAGCATGGCCTTCCGGTATCAGTGCCGACTTTTTCCCCCCTGGGCACCACATTTTATGTCGCAGCGGGTCGGACACGATCGCTAAAGTATTCGGCCCGGCGTGCTGGTCAAAAGAAGCAGAAGCGCAATTGCCAGGCATCAACGACAACATCTGCCACAAGCATCTCGCGAACCTCTACGTCCACCATGTTAGCCACTGCGCCAGCCATGCGGTTGCGGGTGCAGGTAGAACTTGAGCAAGTCGTTCAGTGTGCATAGCCACAAACATTCCGTCGCTGGGCGTTTGCTCAGTGACATGATAGTACTGACCGTCCCGGCTCAGCATGGCCATCATGTGTCAGTTCCGACCTCTAACATCGAAATCTGTATTCCTACCATATCAGCAAACACACAAGTGGCACTGCCACAGGGCACCATGCCTGACGTGTTCTGAACTTTCACGTGAGCCGGTCCGAACATTGTGAAGCCCTACATAACCGTAAAGCCGTACAGCCTAATGTGTAGACTACCGTTGACCGAGACGGCTGCGACTAGCACAAGCTCGGGCACCAGCACGCCTTCCAGGTCTCTTGGAATCTGGGCCTGAGGATCGTAGATTGGAAAATCACTCAGACAAGCTTTGATACATAGTCTGTTCTGATTGTGCAAGTGGTCGTAGCCATTCTGGCAGCAGGTAGCGAAGTCATCAGGCTGTCCATGCTTGCGGCGTCGTTGGTGCACGCAAGTGTCCACACCTCCACCGCGCAGGGGATCGACATCAACTTCAACGCTTTCCTTCACGACTTCACAGGCGAGAGGACTTTCTGCGCGAGTTCGCTGCAGACGTAAGTTTCACGCGTGCAAAGTTCGCAACTGAGGGCCTTGGGTAGAACTCGAGTAAAAGGATTTTGCATGATTTTGCCTTCACACCTTTCGGCAGGATTCCGCGTTGAAGCTTCGCATGCATTTTGACAGTTTCGTTCTGAAGCAATTCACTGTCAGGTATCGGTGACGACATCTGCGACAAGCAACCTGCAAAGCAGTGCTTCAGCAACTGGGCTGCAGATTGCCAGAAGTTGAGCCAGACTTTTGGCCGTTACCGCTTCGCCAGGGTTCCGTAGCTCAACTTTCGGTGCGCTGACATGATAGTCCACCGCAGCATGGCCTTCCGGTATCAGTGCCGACTTTTTCCCCCCTGGGCACCACATTTTATGTCGCAGCGGGTCGGACACGATCGCTAAAGTATTCGGCCCGGTGTGCTGGTCAAAAGAAGCAGAAGCGCAATTGCCAGGCATCAACGACAACATCTGCCACAAGCATCTCGCGAACCTCTACGTCCACCATGTTAGCCACTGCGCCAGCCATGCGGTTGCGGGTGCAGGTAGAACTTGAGCAGGCTGAGCGGTCACTTGTGCAAAGATTTCCCGGGTCGCTTGTGCATAGAGTGCCCTGGTCGCTTGTACGCGCGGAGGTGCGTTTTGTATCGGCAGGGCCAATGAATTCGCAGTTCGTTACTTGTAACTTCGCGATGTTCGGGAGCCTGAAAAGTGCATGAAACGTCGGCAGGGCCGTGGTTTCCGACTTTCGGCGTGCATGCTCGAAATCGCGCTTTTTGGCCTCGAAGTTGTGAAAGTGCTGGCAGAGCCAGAGGATTCGGCTTCACCGCATCGGTCTTTTGCGCGTGTTTTCAAGCGCTTGAAGTCAAGCAATCGACGCGATTCCTCGACAGGGTCGGCGTTTTTGCTGCATGGCGCATGCATTCAAAACGATGTTGGTTATTGGCGGATCGTTGAAACAAAGCGTGTTTTGCAAGCCTGTTCCTGTACCTTGCAGTAATTTTCCTTCGATCCCGCTGGTGTTCTGTTGTTGGAACCCATCCAAAACGTGCTTTTTGAGCCTGCAAAAGTGCATTCTGGAGATCCGTCCAGAGTTTATGCTTTGCGGGAGGCATTAGTGTCTTGTCGGAACCCATCCAAAACGAGCTTTTGGAGGCTGCAAAAGTACATTTTGGAGGTCCGTCCAGAGCTTGTGCTGTGCGGGAGGCACTAGCGTTGGCTTTCCTCGCCTCCGAGCGTCTGTCGCTGCAGAGGATTCAAAACGTGCTTTTGGAGACTGCAAAAGCACATCCCGGCGGTCCGTCCAGAGTTTTTGCTTTGCGGGGGGCACTAGTGTTGCGTCTCCAAAGCGAGGTTTCGGCTACTGAAACGTGCTGGTGCCAAGGAGACTTCTCTTGCTGCACGCGTCAAACACGGACGTTATTATCCCCGCACGCGTCAAACACGGACGTTATTAGCCCCCACGTCCCCGCCCCACCCCCCCAGTACCTTCCAAAACACGGACATTATTAGCCCACGCTCAACCCTTCGAAAACGCTTTTCCGAAAAAACCATGCTTTGGTTCCAAAGAGAGTGCTCTTGCTGCAAGCCGCAAAAACGGACGTTAACAACCTCCCCCGGGACCAACCAAAACGTGCTTCTCGAGCCTCCAAAAGCGCTTTTTCAATGGTTCCACAGAGAGTGCTCCTGCTGCAGTTGTCAATCACGAACGTTGATAGCCCCCCCCCACCCGCCACCCCGATCCCCCCGAAACCAGCCAAAACGTGCTTTTCGAGCTTCCAAAAGTGCGTTTTCAGTGGTGCCAACGAGACTTCTCTTGCTGCACGCGTAAAACACGGACGTTATAGCCCCACCCCACCCCCCACCCCACCCCCCACCCCACCCCCCACCCCACCCCCCACCCCACCCCCCACCCCACACCCCCCCCCCCCCACCCGCCCCCCCTGGGACCAACAAGAGCGTGCTGGTGCCAAGGAGACTTCTCTTGCTGCACGCGTCAGACACGGACGTTTTTGTCCCCGCACCCATCAAAAACGGACGTTATTAGCCCCCACGTCAAACACGGACGTTATTAGCCCCCCCACGTCAAACACGGACGTTATTAGCCCCCCACCCCACCCCCCACCCCCCCACCCGCCCTGAAACCAACAACAACGTGCTGGTGCCAACGAGACTTCTCTTGCTGCACGCGTGAAACACGGACGTTATTGGTCCCCCACCCCACACCCCACCCCCCCACCCGCCCCCCGTGAGAACAACGAGAACGTGCTGCTGCCAAGGAGACTTCTCTTGCTGCACACGTCAAACACGGACGTTATTATCCCCGCACGCGTGAAACACGGACGTCATATTAGCCCCCCCTGGGACCAACAACAACGTGCTGGTGCCAACGAGACTTCTCCTGCTGCACACAAAACACGGACGTTATTAGCCCCCCACCCCACCCCCCACCGACCCCCCCTGAGACCAACAAGAACGCGCTGGTGCCAGCAAGACTTCTCTTGCTGCGTACGTCAAACACGGACGTTATTATCCCCGCACGCGTCAAACACGGACGTTATTAGCCCCCCACGTCAAACACGGACGTTATTAGCCCCCCACCCCACCCCCCCACCCCCCCCACCCCCCCTGAGACCAACAACAACATGCTGGTGCCAACGACACTTTTGTTGCTGCACGCGTCAAATTCGGACGTTACTAGCCCCCCACCCCACCCCCACCCACCCACCCACCCACCCACCCACCCACCCACCACCCACCCACCCCACCCCACCCCCACCCCCACCCCACCCCACCCCACCCCCACCCACCCCACCCCCACCCCCCACCCCCCCCCACCCCCCCCCCCCCCCACCCCACCCCACCCCACCCCCCCCCACCCCACACCCCACCCCCCCCCCCCCCCCACCCCCCCCCCCCACCCCACCCCACCCCCCACCCCACCCCACCCCCACCCCACCCCCCCCCACCCACCCCACCCCACCCCACCCCACCCCACCCCACCCCCCCCCCCCCCACCCCACCCCCACCCCACCCCACCCCACCCCACCCCACCCCACCCCACCCACCCCACCCCACCCCCCCCCACCCCCCCCACCCCACCCCACCCCCCCCCCCCCCCCCGTTGAGATGTAACCTGGACGTGTATCCCCTCGCTAGGCGTACAGGAACACAGGCACTCAGGTGTCTCTTTTCTACAGGCGCACAGCTGTAGTCCAGTGTCTGCTAGAACCTTGAGCAACAGGCATGGATACATGCAAGTGATACGTGAAACAGACAGGCACCTGGATGTGTAACATTCAGTGTTTCAACCAGGCACAAATTTAAAACACGTAGAACTGCATGGCCGTGGAGTCGGCATTCTACAGCCTGTTATCGCTCTTGGTCGAATTAGCGGAGTATGAGCTACATCTGCGACTTGAAGAGAATCTATACATCTCTAGCCTGAAGACAGCTTCAATGAAAAGAGCAGAACACGCACGAAACGCAAACGGATCTTCAACTGAAAACTCTTGCTGAAAAGTTGCCCACTTGTGTTTCAGTTCCCTCTCCAGGCGGAAAGCATACTGTAACATAAAAGGTGTAGAGCTTGGCTCTACTTGATGCCAGCATGACATCTTGCGGCACGGCAAATAAAATAAGGGCATTTGAAGTATCTTATCTTGTGATAAGTGTCTTCTTTGACAAGGCTTTGAGGAAGTCCCTTTTCCTGAGAAAAGCATCTTCCTAAGAAATGGCGAATGCTCAAAGTGGATACCTTCTTCTGAAAGAAGCCTTCCGTGAAACACTCAATCCACATCTTCCCACGGACCATCTTCGTTGATCCTTCGGTTGTACTGCCTCAGTTGACGAACGACATAAGGACTATCGTCAGGATGAGGTACGCGGAGGTGAGGGTAGAACCATCTCTCCAAGCGCCAGTAATGGAGTTGGAAACGAAATGGAAACAACTCACCACTGCCAGTACGACTCCAGGATGAAGGGCCAGGACCAACGTCTTCGTCAGGGACGTCAACGTCTTCATCCTCGCCCAGATCCAGGTCCGAACCTAGTCAGTTTTTGCCCTTCGCTTTGCCTTTGGACTTGTCCTTGGACTTGTCTTTGGACTTGCCCTTGGACTTGCCCTTGTCGGCGTCCTTGCCTTTTCCTTTGGAGGACTTGCCCCCTTTGCCGCCTTCTTTGCCACCAGGAGGTTGTGCGGGTTCCGGAGGACGTTGAGAACCAGAAGAATGAGCACCGGGAGCTGCCTCTTCCTGAGAAGAGCTTGCCCCTTGAGGTGCGGCTGCTGTAGGACCAGTAGAACCAGAACCACGCGCCTTGTTCAACTTCTGTCTCTCCTTTCGTCTATCCGCGGCCTCCTTAACGGTGTCAGGATTACGGTTGAGCGCCCTCATCCTGCCTCCCATGAACTGGTTCGCGTGAACCTCGATGAGAAGTGGAGTGTGGGCGTCATAATCCCGGTCGTTGAGAAGGTACGCGGCGCTGGTGGAGTTGAGCAGCCACTCGGAGACATGGATGTCGAACTCTTTCTTTGAAGCTGGAAACTCAGCCCATTGATCGTCCGACATGCTATGTCCCCATTCCATGACTGTCGCCATCACAGGGTCCAAACTAGGAAAAGTATTCCAGTCTGGATGTGTGATGTCCTTGTAAGGCATCCCCAGCGTGTCCTCATACTGCTTCAGAAGCCACATCGCATTTGCTGACACGTTGCGCGCACGAGGCGTGCAGAGGTGTGGGCATTTCGGGCTTTCTGACCAAGCCTCCAAGAAGTAATCGAGAAGACTTTGATACATGCCGCCCCGAATGTCAATTGACTCTTGCTTTCTGCCGATGGCTCTGTATAAGGCCATATTGGCATCGCCGCCGATGAGGTCGACTTGGTAGTGCAAGCAGTCAATGAACATATTGCCCAACACTTCATGTGCCAACGCCACTTTGTCGGCTGCCGCGTCGTTGCGGAGGTGGAAGCAACAGACCCTTATACGGTCGGAACCGGCACGTTCCAAGACCTTGGTCAACGCCTCATCTGGGAAGTCACCGCGGTTGCCCTGGATGCCAGGAGGAAGTGTCATCCCATACACGATCTCTACGACCATATAGGTCAAGGGAAGAGATTCGTGGGCGAGTCCACTGAGAGTGGAGCCAGCCAAACGGGTGATCGAAGACCCGACACCATTTGTACGACTCCCCACCATCAGGTCCTTGGACTCGTTGCGGATGAATTGCCACCCACGCGAAGTGAGAAAGGCTTCCTCTGAGTCATCGATCTTAGCCGCCTCGCAGAGCATGAACAAATGCGTCTTCGACTGTGCTATCGATTTTATCAGGGCACCGCGAGATGGCGTAGCGTCGTCCCAGTCAATGTGGTCAGCAACGGAGGAAGGTGCAGAACGCTTTCTTCCCCTGCTCATGTTGCCGAGATTGACGATGAGCGCGGCGTACTTGGTCTTGCTGGTAAAGATTGGGACTGCGCCATCCTCAGCCAGACCAAAGCGATGAATGTATGGAT